TTATTTTTTAGATCAAATGCCACATCCGTTTAATCTCCGACCTGGCCTCTGTCAGGGGATTATATCCCTGCCTTTGAAGGGGAAAAGAGCTCACAATGCAATAAAGAGTTCCCCTCGCCAGCTTCCAGGCTCCCAAGCATCCTCGCCTCCCTGCGGGCTCTGCTAGCTCAGATGCTGGGCTTCACAGCGTGAGATGCACTTCAGACAGGTGGCTGCTCCAGGGCACTGGCCTGCCGACTGCTCTGGGACAGGGGTCCTGGACTCTAGCCTGGATCACTGCCTGCATAGGGGGCAGGCCCTGGGCCAGGCACTGTCTCCACGGTGGGAGAAGGGGGCCCCGGACTAGGCATCCACTGAAGTGGATGCACGCGGTGCCCACGTAATTTCAGACCGCATGGGAACGCCCCGAGTCCCGCTGCTCCAGAACGGCTCCCGGGGAGAAGCGTTTTACTCTGGAATAAGAGCGCCCGCAGGGGGAGCGATTCACCTCCCCGGTGTTTGCAGAATCAAGGCCTTTGATTAAAGACAAGAGGACGCATCTCCCGTGACTCCGGAGTGGATCTGGAAAACTCCAGCTCAGCCAGCGACGCTGCTTTGTCCTGGGGCTGGAGACCAGGCTCTGGCGCTGCCGTCCCCACTGCTGAAATGGGATTCCTCTTTGGCCCAGCCTGGGTGCGCCCGGGGCCAGAGGCATTTGGGTCTTTATTAAGGCAACAAATGCATCGAACCAGAGGGAAGAAGTGTGCTAGAGAGGCTGCCCGGTCTGCCTTAAACCAGGGAGAGGAGCCACCTTAAGGGCTGCTCCTCTCCGCCTAGAGAAAGTGACAAGTTAAGAAGCCTTATCAGCTGAGTATTTACAGCCCAGGGTTTGTTACCAGTTAGACAGATCAGGTGACTCCAAGGCTGCCTCCAGGACCCAGACGTCTGGGGTCAAGGTCGGGAGGCTGTGGGTGAGGAGGAGGGCTCAGCCCAGCCAGCCACGCGCAGCCAGAAACCAGCTAGCCTGGGAGCCGCCAGCGCTCGGGGCTGGGGGACTGTCCCTGCCCGGCTGGCACTGGGACCCGGCTTCCCAGCGTGACGGCCTCTCCCCTGCTGGGCCCGCAGCCCTTTGGCACGGCCCTCTGACACGGCAGCTGCTTTGCCAGCTCCAGCTCAGCCTGGTTCTGGCCACGATCCTGCTCTCCGCCAAAGGGGCGGGTAGAAACACGCACGTGCACAAACACGCTCCTGGGCGACGAGTCCAAGTTGCTAGCAGGGCCTCGCTCTCTCCGGGAAGGCCCAGGCTAGCCTCGTGGGGCTGACCCCTGATGCCCAGTGGGGCAGACTCGGACCCTGGGTCCCTCCTGCTCCACGAGGCCTCTCCTACGCTGGTTTTCTGGTCTGTTCCTTGAGGTCCCCCCTGGAAACGCAGACGGGTCCTCCTGCCTCCAGCCCGTCTCCCCTCTCTCATGCTTCCGCATTCGGGGCTGGCTCCCGCCATGCACCTGCAGTCCCAGCCCCTCTCAGGCTGCAGGAGCTGATGCAAGAGGAGCTGAGTGCTGATGCCTATGGGTCCCGGGAAACGGTTTGGGAGTCACAGGCACCACCAAAGTGTGCCCGGTCTCAGAGCCAGGGGCATGGCCTGGCTCAGCACCCACCCCTGGGGTCACTCTCAAAGGACCTGGCTGTCACTCGAGCCAGCCTGACCTGCTGAGCCTAGAGCATGCAGTGAGGGCCTGGAGGAGGTGCAGAGGCAGCATGCTGTTACCTCCTGTCCCTGTGATCCAGTTTCCTGCATTTGTGGCACTTTCCCAGGGAAAGTCTGGGTGCAGTCTGGGGAGGGAAGGGGAATCCATCCTGCCCTGCCCACAGACCCCCGCTGCCACGCAGTCCCATTCGCAGCAGGAGAACGCAGGCCTCGGGCACGCCAAGCCCTCACAGAGCAGAGCTACACAGCTTGACAGGGTCCCTCCAAAAATATGCACTACAGCCCCCACGGTGCCACCCCTCACCAACCAACTGCACCGGCCAGGCCTGGCACGCAATGCCATGCTCTGTAACCGCAAGGATAGTCTGAAAAGCCCTTCTACACCCAGACCAGGATTTTGGAGACTAGCGAGGGGCCGCAGAGCGAGAGAACCACAGGGACGATCTGAGTCCTCCAGCCTCAGCACAGAACCCACTGTGGATTCATCGTGGCCCAGAGACGCTATGGATGCCACGAGAACCTCCCCGAGGCTGCACTGCAGATCCCAGTGCCCCTCAGGCTTACGAGGGCCACTCATACTCCCAATGGTGGCCCTGCCCTGCACTAGCCTTGCTCCTTGCTGGCTTGGTTGCAGGAGCAGCAGCCCATCAGAGGAGCGGGTGAAGATTCGGGGTGGGAGAAATGACAGGGCAAATCAAACCTCCCCATGGGGCGGAAACGTCTTTTCCAATTTCCCTGCTTCCATGTGATTTATGGCTTTGTTAGACCCCCTTCACTGGAGTCGCAGCCATTGAGGTGCCCTGCTCAGTGTCATTCTCTCTCCTTGGGCCAGGCAGATGGAGAAGCAATCCTGAGCCTGGCCTCTCCCTGCCCAGTGGCAGTGAGGGAAGGATCCAGCAGCGCCAGGGCCTGCATGAGGAGGGAGGACTGCAGTGGAGGTATCAGCCGCCCCTGGACCTGCTTGTTCTGATGTGCAAGTGTGACCCTCTAGTCCTGGTACCAGGTACAGGGCATGCCCAAGCCACCAGCCTGTAGTGAAAGAAGTCTGGGCCAGCAACTATAGGGCCAGAGCTCTCTGCCTCAGGGAAGCAGGCTCCCTAAGGGAAACCGCAGTTATACCAGGAATCCCAGAGCGACTGGTTGAAACTCTCTGGTCTCAGCATCCGCTGGCTGAAAGAAACCTAACAGAGAACACCCTGGCCTGGAGCAGTTGGGGGACAGCACGCCTCTCCTGTGACACCCCCATCCCTCCACATGCTCTTTCAGCCCCCCTGCCAAGGGCCCAGAGAGGAGCTCGAGCAGGGGTCCTGGAGATCCTGTTAGTGCCGGAGCTGGAGGGAGACGGCGTGTGCGTCAGAGTGATGTGGAGTGTGAATTACACAGGGCGGCGGTGAGCAAGATAATGTGAGACCTTTTATTGGACCAACAAATCATGTCTAGCACTCAAGCTTTCAGGCCAAAAAAGGCCCTTTCCTCCAAGAGCTACACCTGCAAGTCCCGTCTTGGCCCAAAACTCATGCACTAGAAATGATTTGTTGGAGAGACGTGAGCCAGTGCGCTATCGCCCAGGGAAGGGACCTGTCTGGATAAAATAAGAACTGACCTGATCTGCTGCTTGAAACACTGGCTCTGGCTCCTTTCATATGTGGGAAGGCAGCATGGGCTAGTGGCAGCTTTGCTGCTGACCTGCTGCTTGACCTTGGGCACATCACTTCCTCCCCTCCCCACGCCTCAGTTTCCCCCCCTGTCACCTTGTTATGTATACTGTGAGCTCCTTGGGGCAGGCCCAATCTGTTATTTTGTTAAATCAGTCCAATCTGCCCACCTAGGTCAGACTCCCCTCTGTGCCAGTGCAAAGAGGCCCTGATCTCAGCATGGATCTCCAGGAACCATGGGACTGTCAGTAGTAACAACATTCAGAGCAGCAGTCACCCTCTCCTCACCCCAGCACATCCAGACTTGCTCCTGTTCCTGCTACACAGCCAGGAGACACAAAAAGCCAGGACCTGAGGCAGCGTCCACCCTGGTCCAGCTCCCTGGGGTGAGGCTAGCTTGTCCCCTGCAGGCTATCCTCCAGTCTACATTCAAACACCTACAGCATCCATTACTTCCTTGAGGAGAATAGTCCACTACCCACAAAGCCTGGCTACCTGACCACCCCTGTCCTGGTTTCACCTGATCTCTGTTGGATCAGGGGACACAGAAGCCACGTCTGCTTGGTAGCAGGGCCGGCCTCTCACTGTGCCACCCTTCCCCATCCGTGACCCCACGGAGGCACAGGGAGTGCTGCCAGGCCCAGGATGCCCATTCCCTCCAGCACATTTCCCATGTGGCAATGCAGACCCCCTAGCACTGGGATGCCATGTCTGCTTGGCACTGCATCCAGGAGCCTGGGAAACATGGCAGCAATAGAAGCAGACCCTGCGGGGGGTGGGAGGGGGGCAGGAGTCTCACTGGTGGTTTGGGAACTAACTTGTCTGTGGTGCAGACTGCAGACGAGTTCTTTAAAGACCCAGTTTCCAGTCTCTCTATCCCCGAATACTCAAAGCAGCGCAACAACCAACATGCTCCAGTGTGTCTCTAACACTCCCATACACCCCCACCCCACCCCACCCCACCGCACCCCATGCCATGGTGCTCCACAGGGTGCAAACATACAGAGCCCCGGCACCCACACGCTCGGGGCAAAGTCGTCGGGGACAAACCCCACTGGCAGCCAGCATCTATTCCAGGTGGGCACAAGATGGCACCCTTGGGCTGAGGTTTTCTCTGTGCTAACATGGGGAGCAGGGGTCGGGACCAGGGGGACCCCATAAAGAAGAGGCATAGGAATGGCGGAGGAATTTGGCAGCTGGCAGGGAACTGGGTGGGGGCACTGGTGCCAGGGGAGAGAATTTGATGCGTGCTGGGTTTGGCTATGCAGGTAAAAGGAAAAGTCTGGATGTCAGTGCACAGCTGGGGTGAGCTCAAGGGAGGGAAGAACCAGAACTAGATTTGTGGTCCTTTGGGATGGACTCTGAGAACAGCCAGGTGAGTTTATGTGCCCCGTGGAAGAGACCATGGGTGCCGCACTGGGAAGAGCACGAGCCTGAACTGGACCCTCGTTTCCCCACAGAATGGGCTCTGGATATGTCCTCTGGCAACGTAAAAGGCAGAGCTGGATTTCAGTGCCCACCTGGAACGGACCTCTGCACCCATCCTCCTCCCCTCTGTCCAGATCTCCTCAGGAGAAAACCTCAGCACCAGCTCTCACAGGGTCTCAGACCACAAAGAAGACGCCACCGGGCCAGGCCAGGCCGTGCGCAGCACCTACCTCTCTCGCGGACAAAGTACGCCAGGTAGAGGTCGAGCTCCTTGACAGAGACGCTGATGTGGTGGGGCTGGACGCACAGGATGGGGTTGGTGCACTGTGTGGACTTGACCAGGCGCTCCCCATCCGTGCTCTCCAGAGGGATCCCTTTGAAAAGGATGACCATGACCAGATCCAGGCGCCACACCTTGTCTGCCTGGCGCAGGCAGTCGATGCGGCGCATCTTGCCCTTCTGATCGGGGTTGGAGAGGACGCAGCAGGAGGGCTTCTTGCCCGTGATGGAGAGCACAAAGTCCTCGCGACACTCGGGCCGGATGTCTTTGCGCAGCTTGGCCAGCAGCCGGGATGCCCACTTCTGCTTGACCTCGGGCTTCTCATTGAGCAGCTCGTCCTTCACTGCCCTCTCCTCATCCTTTGTCATCCTCTTCTCGTGCTTCTTGAAGTACTTGCGCTTGCGGGCCTGCAGGTTGAACCACGTGTAGGCGAAGGCCCGGACATGGGGGAGCAGCGCCTCGATGAATGGGTGGAATTCATCCTGCGGGGAAAGCAGAGACACGCCATTAGGACAGACAGCATGGGCATGGCAGGACACGCAGATGCCCAGAGCGCCCCGAATGTGACACTTTCATGAGGCCAATGGTCCAGTAGAAGCATAGCCTCATGAGCAGAGCAGAGCAAGGTGGGGAGGAAGGACTCCTGGGTCCTATGGCCAGACACGTAAAAGAGCTATGGGGACCCAGAGCTGGGGCTCATGCGTTGTCTCCCAGCCCTGCATAGGGAATGGGGTTTAGTGCTCAAAAAAAAGGGTGGCTCCGGGTTCTGCTCCCACCCCAAAGCAGGCTACAAGAGCCCAGGGTTTGGGGCACAAGTCATAGGTGGGGAGTGGAGGTGGCCGCTGGGGATCCCCCCAGGAGTGTGATGTGAGCAGTTTGCTGAGCAAACAAGGGCCCATGGGTGTGTTTAACAGACAAACCTAGCCTCTGTGGCCCAGCCAAACGCGCAGAGAGGGGCTGGTCGGGGTCAGGCAGCGCTATCGAGTACATGTGCTTCCCTGGGGAAAAGGATGCCTGCTCCCAGCCCTGCCCCCCTGCTGCCCGCTCACTCCCAAGGGAGGGCCTCCTGCCTTCGCAGCAGGCTATGGCCTTGGGGGCTCGGGGATGTGCGCCTGGAGTCTGCCCTCCAGCCCCCGCCCCACTGCCGCAAAGGCACAGGAGGACACAGCCTTTGCAGTAGCCCCAGCACGAGTGGCTGGAGTTTGCTCATAAATCCTGCAGGCTGTAACTCTCCGGGCCGGCTTGGGCGTAATGGAGCTGATCGGGCCAGGGAGGGAGAGGCGTTACGTAACCTGTGCTGTGTCTGCAGTAACCTAACCCTCTCCCCTTCCCACCCGCGCTCTAGAATCCATTCCCAACGGGCACAGGAATCCAGGCTGAGATTTCACGGAGGCTGTGCCGGGTGAAGAGCATCCCTTGATGCAACCTGTGTTGGTGCCAAGCGAGGAGAGGAGAGGAGCCACAGGCAGCTCCTCTCCCTCCAGAGAAAAGAGAGCAAAGCCCTGGCTGGGGGGCTGCATTCTTCCAATAACCCCTCCTGGAGGAAAAGGCGGATTGGATTTCCGTGCTGGAGCGGAATTGAACTCCCGGGCACCGCAGCTAGGTGCCTGTGCGTGAGGGCAGTGAATGTGTACAAGCTCAGGCATCCCCATCCAAGCCCAAGGGTGCAGGGGAGCACCTGTGGTCACTCCTCTCCCAGGCCTCCGCACTGAGATGCTTGCCCAGGCACAGACAGGTGGCACGTTAATCAGCGGAGCTGTTTTGCTGCCTACTATGCAGGGAACGCCCCAAGTTTGCTCCAGTTCTGTCCCGTCTGGCCCCTGGCCATGGCACTGGCAGGCCGCTCAGGCTCTGACTGCCTTTTTCCACTTGGCGGGAACTTCCGATCGAGTCCATCCCAGAAAGAAAACATGGAAAGCATGTCTCTGCCCCCTCCTGTGTCTGATTTTCCCATTGCGGAAAATCCTGCCTTCCTGGCTGGGGGAAAGTACATGTGAGAGTGACTGGAAGAGATCAATAAGTGTTAGGGCTCTTCACAACAGGGACAGGCTGCGGGAGGCAGCCTGTATGGAGGCCTCCTGCCACTAAAAAAACAACCCAGCCAGGTTCCCAGCCGCCCTTGCGTGCGTGTGTGAAGGAAGGAAAAATCCTGGTTGATTTAGAACCAAGCAGAAACCCAAGAGTCAGTGGGTTCCTTGTGCCAGACCTCCCTGAAATGTTGGGCTCTTTCGTTGCTTTGAATATGGCTCACATTAAAGATAATTGGGATTGCATCAGGAAAAAGGCCCGCATGCCAAGACCGCTCTGCAATGGCAGCAGTTGGGAAATGTTTTCCTTGAACCGGGCTGCAGTGCTGAATCTTCGCTCAGCACGCTCCCGTGGCAGGAGGTTGCAAACCACAGCTCAAGCTGCTCCTACTTACTCACATGGGGTCCAGATCCTGTCTCCCCCCACCAATTGCCCCAGGTGTAAACTGGCATAGCCTGCCTAAAATCAGTGCAGCTACCTCTGGGTAAAGCTGGAGTCAGAGGAGAAACGGATCCATCCCCTGGAGCTATTAAGAAAACACCAGAACTGCGAGAAGCAGCAGTTTTACCCAAGAATTTGGAAAACCGCTTAGAAATGATTTTGCTTTTGAGTGTGGTTTTGCTCTGACAAACATATAAAAGCGGCCTCTTCTTTGGGGCGCTACCTGCCCACTGTGTGTTCTCGGGGTAAGGTTGGCTGACCCCCGGCCACTAGCCGAGGCTTCGCTTGCTTTTGCTTTTCACGCCTGCAGGGACATCCCAATTCCGGGAGAAAGAGCTGGATCAGACCGTGGTCGGCAGGACTTGTCTGCTGTGTGCCAGGGAGTTGCACCCCAGCAGCCCCCTCAGCGGGAATGAGAAAGCAGAGGCGTCACCGAGAACAGGATTCAGAGGAAATGAGGTTGTCACGGAGGGTAGGAATTGGCCCGTGCGGCCTCTCATTATGGGGTGATGATGTGGGAGTAGGAAGGAGCCCAGCTTGGCTTTCGAAGCCCAGGCAGCATTTGCCAAGGGTTGGGGAAAAAAGCTGCCACTGGCAATTTAGACTAAGAACTCGTCGTTTTAGAGGCAGACCGAGTGCGTCGGCCCGCAGAGGGACAATGAGAGGAGCGCAGGCTTTTCACAGCTCCTTCTCAGGGTAGGGTTACACCCGAGCGGATGTTGTGCCAGTGGAAGGTGCTAGTTTGACAGCCCTGGGGAGCCAGCTCTGAGCGTATGCAAAGAACAGGTGCAAAACCAGCACCACCATCACACCGCCTCCTGCCATGTGCTGCAGACACGCGGTGAAGAGTGGAGCGAGGAAGGGGACCCAAGAGTCCTGAGTTCAGGCAGGCTGCTGTCAGCACTGCTCAGCTGGGCGGCTTCTCCTTTCCGCACAGCTTGTAGACATGATGAGCTGAATGGGCTGCCAGTCTGGGGCCCGGTGAGAGCCCACGGCATGCGTGCGCCTGGGGGAGGGGATTCCTGTTAGGGTCTATCCCAGGCTGTGCACACGTGCACAAGGTCAGCCAGCAAATTATTTCAGCGGTGTGACAGACAGGGAGCCCTTGCCCAGCCTGACCTTGGGGCAGACTCTGCTGTTCCCAGACTGAGGAAACCCTGTCCCTGAATGACCCTGTGTAGCACCTACAGTTCCCAGCCCTGGCAGCCCCCCAGCCCTAGCACAGACCCTGCTATTCCCAGCCCCCAGGCCCCTACCCTGTCCCACTCTACTGCAGACTCGCACTTTATGCTTGCAACTACTCCAGACAAGTCCCCGTAGTTTAACAGGGTCACAAAACGCAGCTCCAGGCAATGGCCCTGAATGAAAGAGATCTGGAGCCCAAAGCCTGCCCCATCCCCAGGGTCAGGTGGGCACTGGCCAGACTGGCTGTCACGGCTGGGCACATACAGTGGGTTTCAAAGAATCGCTGGTGCTGGCTCTAATCTTGGCAATGAATGCAGGGTGGGAGGCAGAAGCGGGGCAGCAGCACAGCCAGGGGCCTCAGACAGCAAGGAAGCTGCTTACTTGGCCCCAGGCCTCTGGAGAGCTGCTGTCTTAGGTCAACTCCAGCCCTCCCCAGCACTTAGCTGGAGCATAACACAGGGAGAGGAAGGGATGGAGCGGCACAGGGGAGGACGGCCTTGATCGCCTATCAGCCTCCCCAGCACTGACAAGCTCCAGGCACCACCAGCAGCCCTCAGCAGGAGCTGCTAATTCACTGCAGCTGGGCAAGGGCTGGGCATGTGTCTTAAATCAGGGAAGAAGGTCAAGGAAAAGTAAGACAGGAGCTGAAAAAAGAAGCAGCTAGTTCCAAAAACAATACTTGGCCGGGGCCTTGGCTGGTTGATCTTTCACGGTGGCCAGTTATTCATGCAAGTCCTACAAATTACTGCTGTGCCCCCCGCCACCCCAACCAGCCCTGCCTTTCAGTCCCTTCTCCAGCCAAGCAGCCAGGTACCAGAACTGGCTGAGGGGGGAGGCGGGCAGGGAGGCTCAGGGGCCAGCTTGCCCCCTCCAGTTGGGCTGACCTGCTCCCTGTAGAGTGTACAGCCCCATGGAGCAGCCGGTGTGCAGTGACCTCTTTGTTCCCAGTGATGCCCACGAGTCCTCGTGTGCGGCAGCCTGTCCAGGGGAGCCCACAGCACTTCCTGTAGGAGGGAACCCAGGGCACTGAGTTAGGGGAGGGGAATGGACCAGGAGCCTGGGGGCAAGGGGGAGAGGGTGGGATGAGCAGTGAGTGTGCACCCAGTGGGCTACCTCCCGGGCATCTCTCTGTACGAAGCCGGTGGGGGCATCTCTGCTCTGCTCTTCCCTCCCTCTAGTGTTGCTGGCAGGGTCAAGAAGTTTCTGCATGTCCCTCCTCACAGCCATCAGGGAAGGGGACATGGAGCCCTCCTAGGACAACAGGCTCCATTCGCCAAGCCCTGGAGCAGAGGCTGTAGGGAGCAGACCCAGGCTGGCCCTGAGGGGTGGGCATGGGGGTGGTGGGCAGAGGAGCTGAGGGCTCCGCTTCCCCTCTCCAGGGGAGGCAGAGCTCCTTGCTCCCAGGTTTCTACGAGGGCTTGAAAGCACATTAATTTAGGGCTGGCAAGGGGCAGTCTTGGAGGCCAAGTCCCATAACTCACTACAGCAGTTGCACCAGCTCCTGCCATGATGGGCCCCAGACTGCTGGGGCCACTGGATGCCCAAACAGCCTGGCCCATTTAGCTCTTTCCCCCATGAAAAACAATGGGAGAGAAGAACCCCTGCCCTGATCTGCAAACATACGCACGGGCCGGACAGACAGAGGCAAGTTTGGGGCTCGGCTTTCTTAGACACCCTGGGCCACACAGGCAGGGGTTGTTCCCACACTTTCCATCCCCTCCTTCTTGACCCAGAAGGGGCGGCCACAGTTGTGGTGGTGCTGCAGGCAGCTGCCACCACTGTGACAGCCGCGGCACAGGGTCCCTGGGCGCTGCCATTTTTGTGCCACCTCTGCATCGGCACCTGGGACTGGTGCCCTGCTCCCCCTCCCCCCAAGTATGCTACTGCCCTGCAGCCCCACTGCCCATCACCAGCACTGAGCACCATATGCACACAGCTGTGCCAACCCTGCTTATGCCAAGCTGCAGCCTCCTGCTGTTCCAGTCCCGGGGATCTTACATGCACAGAGCACAGCAGATGCCCCTCAATCCTGACCCACCCCCTCCAGCTCCAGCCCTGGGAGTGCCTGCACACATCTACACACCAAGAAGGGCAGACCCCAACCCCACTCCTGGCCCCTTCTGATCAAACCAACTTTCTTTTTTAACATGAACAAACTCCCTGCAGGGGCTTTGCTGAGTCCCAGCAGACTCCAAAATGGAGAAGCAGGTCTGCGGAGCTGACAGCTCCATTGCATCATCCTGCCCCATTATTATAATGACTATTTAAACTGCAGCAGTGTCAAGGATCAGGGCCCCAGTGGGTAAATACCCTGCAAAACACAGAGCTGGCCTAGAAGGGTTCCCAGCCTAACTCTTCAGCCACATTCCTGGGGCCTGGTACGGATCAGCTCTTGTTCTAGCAGGAGGGCCCATAGTTTATTATTGAGTCCCTGGTCCAGTTTCCCTGGACTCTCTATTCCCAGGGCTTTGAGGAAACAGCCAAGCTCTCTTCACATGTGACCTGTCAGGAGCAGAAGCCCCCCGAGCCCTGAAGGGCTGCGGCACTGATTTCAGCACTGGGATTAAGCGGGGATTGGAGATGAACTGAAAGCAGGGGCAGCTCCTGAAATCCGATCAGCCACTGCAACCACTTTCCTTCCCCGCCTGGATTATCTCTGCACAAAATTGCCACATACAGTTAATCTGCTTTAAAAGGGCCAGGCCAGGCAAGGGAACATAAATACAAGTGTTAGCAGGGGAGCAGCAAGTGACCGTCCGGGTCTGAAATTAGCTTTATATATAGTGGAGGGAGGACTGTCTGTGAGGGTTTGGGCATGGAAATGCCCAGTGGAGAGTTACATTCCTGATGCAGAATGAGGCTGGGGCTTGGGCTCTTCAAGGAAAGGCAAAAGGGCAGAGAAAGCGGTGGCAGGAGTTCAGACTGATGGACAGAGAGAGAGCATTAGTATGGATCCTCAACACCCAAGGCATTGGAGGCAACGTGGTCCCCAGGAAAGTCTACATCAGGCCAACACATCGGTAACTGCGTGTTATCATCTCCCCCAGCACTTCAGAGGTTCATCGACATTAGCATCTGAGGGACCCAGGTTCTTGTAACAGAGCCAATTTCTGATGAAGGCAGGACTGCGCCCCACTTCCATCCTGAAATCCCCATCCTCCACAACCAGCACTATAATGCATAGGGTTTCTTTAGTCCTTGCCGTATCACATTTGGTTTGTCAAGCTTTTCTTGCCCTTTCAGTTGAACGCTTGCAACAAACAGGAATAAGGAGTCTGCAATTAAGCACTCGCCCTCCTTGTCATCATCACTCGTTTTCTAGCACCTACTTTCCGAACAGTAATGACTGAAACATCCCATACTATTGTTATGCTCTTATTCTCTGCATCTGGCATCTGGCTTTCTCCCATGCTTCCCATAGAGTGCCCAGTGCTCCCAACCTGACCGTGCTGGTCTTTATACTCATCTCCAGCCAGTTTGGTTCATCCATTTATAATATGACTGATCCTCTCTTGAGCCTGAGCACATGCCCTGTTATTATGACTCCTACTACTACTACTGTAGCACCAAGGAGCCCCACTTACAGACACCGCCCTCAACGTGGTAGACACTGTATATCTAAAGAAGAAAAAGTGAGCCCCAGCTCCAATCCACATCAATACTGTGGGATGGAAAGACAGAGGAACGCTTGGGGTTATGCTGATGCACAGGCAGGAGTGAAAGCAGTTCAGTGTATAGAAGGTCAGAACATCTGGGTTCGATTCCTGGCTCTACCAGCAGCCTGCTGGAGGGGCTTGGGTGAATCCCTGTCCTGCTCTGCACCTGCGCTGATCTCATGTGGAGACTGGAAGCTCTTTGGGGCAGAGGCTGCCTGCACTTTGGCTGTGGCCTCTGGGTGCTACTATCACGTAAGGGAGATGACAGAAAGCAAAACACAGCCCGGCTACCCTGAGCTGCCAAGAGCAAATGGCACAGAAACCTTGCCCACAGCCAAAATGTTCCTTCCTTTATTGTTTCCAGGATGGCCTGTCTGTACAGCTGGCAGCTCCAGCCCAGCTCAGCTCGGCCAGCTGGTGCCACCCCCTCTGCCACCAGAGGAAGGCTCGGAGCCCAGCCTGCCCCACATCTGCTGTACCAGCTATTTATTTGTCTCAATCACGTCACAAGTTGTAGGTGGACGCACACTGATGCCTGGCCCCAGCCCAACAAGCCGCACCCCCTACGATTTGATGGGTATGCGCTGAACTGGGGACAGCAGCCACCTGGACGTCTTCAACAGCAGGCGCAGAGGCACAGACCCCCCCAACCGCACTTGGGCTATAGGAGGATCACCACATCACTTGGCAGTATAGGGTATATATAGGCTTTGAGTGACTCTGGCTTTCTCCTGTAAAGGACGGTAACGCACGCACCTCCGGACACCAGCCGGGTCATCACAGTATCAACTGCAGGAGGATGAGCGACGAGGTTTTGAAAAAGCAAGGGCCCCCACTCGCCTCCAAGTCAGACCAGCCCTTTCCAGCGGCTCAGCAATGGTCTGGTTAACTTTCTCCTGTGTTGTTTTCATTTGCGCGGCTGCCTGCCGGAGCAGACGTGCTGCAATACCACAGCAAAGGCTGTTCTTGTGGCATTTCCGGCCAGGAATCTGGCAGGAGATCCTGTCCTTGGGAGATTTCCAGCCCGGTTGTGTGGACTCTGCAAGGTCTGGAGAAGCCTGCCAGCTTGTGGGGTCCTGCCTGAGCAGAGAGGGGGCCCTGTCCTGCTCTCCCAACATAGCTGCCATGTCACTGTGGCACAAGCCAGACCAGCCCGTCCATGTCACCCCTCCGAAGCCTTTTTGAGCCAGGGGGCCCAGAACACGGTGCAGATATACTGAGGCCTGGGCAGGAAGGGGAGCAATAGCCACCACTCACAAGCGGAGAACTGAGACAGGAAAACTCACATAAGATCAACACGGAGTCACTGGGGAAACTGGGCTAAGAGCTCAGGAGCACCTGGCCCCTAGCCCCAAGCCAGCCCGGTAATCCAGACTGCCCCACCTGCCCAAAGCCACCCTCTCCTGGCTCTTAGCTCCCCCATGCTCATGGCAAACAAGGGGAGCAAACTACAACGTTGCTTCCCCTCCGCCCCCCGGCTACAGGGGGAGAGAGAAGGACTTCTGTGCCCCCGAATCCAGGATCTTGGCTCTGTCCTCGGGTGGAGCCGGAGTTCAAAAGCAAGCTGGAACGAGCACGCAACCCCATGGCTCCAGGAGCAGAGGAAACCACTTTTCTCTCTGGGAAAATGGCTGAGATTTCCAACCTTTCCCCACCCTGTGCTGGGAATGAAACCGAGACATCTGGAAGCTTGTCATGAAAAATAAGGAGAGGCTGATTCTGTAGCCCCATCCCTCATGGGAGACCCAGGGCAAGTCCCTTCTCCAAGGAGTACGGAAGTATTTGTGCCAGGTGGAGCTGTGCCCAACGCAGACATCAAGACCATCCTGACCTGGTTGAGGCCTGTACTGACTATGGACCTAGGTGAGGTGTATGCTTGGAGTGGGGAGAAGGAGGCACAGGTCCCTCCTCCGCTGCTTGCAGGTGAGGACTTGAGCCTGCATCTCCCACTCCCCAGGTGCGCGCGCTGCACACCCGGCTGCTCTGGGGTGGCTCCAGCTCTCTGCCTGGGACCGGACGTTCTGCCCCAGCCAGAGGAATCTTCCCCAGCAAGAGTTTCGCCAAAACCGCTTCATTTCCAGGAACGGTTTTAGTTTTGACAACCTGAATTTTCCAATGAAGCACTGTTTCATCCGGAAATTCCCGACCCGCTCAAGCAGGGCGTGCCAATCCCGGAGCGCGTCAGCTCTGCCGCCCGCGGTGTGCGTGTCCCCCACCTCTCCAGCCCCTGCCCCGGCCACTGGCCCTGGCAAGGCATATTATGTCTTCAGAGCTGAAGAAAAGAGGAGGAGGCTGTTCCCACAGGGAGGCCCATAGTATGTGGAGAGACACCAGGGCAACCTAATGGCATCTTGGCCCGTGTGGAGACCACA